ATCAAAATGTCAGAAAAAGTTTATCCTCTAGATTAGGGTTAAGCGTACGCTGAAAACATTGACGAAACTCAGTCAGATGGAGCAAACTGCGGTGCACAGTTTACGATTTATAATATACAATAGTTGGTTTTATCTGCCAAAGGCCAGAATCGTTCTTCTAAACCTAAGAAATTCATACAATTGGGCTTGATATATCGAATGTTTACATTTTATGAGACAAAGCTTGAGCAGTTGTGCCACCTTACTCCGAATAATGCTGTCCAATTTCAAATAAACTGCGCTTCATAGGTGCAAACAGATGTCTGACAAAAATTGTTAAGTTTCTCCCTCACTTAATTTGTGTACGTTATCTAGGTCTGGATATTTTAACAGGATGCAGAACTTCAAACCTCCAATGTTTATCAATCAGCAATAATTAAAACATTTGTGCGCTAGTAAAATCAATCAAAGATAAATGTCTTGCTCATTGTTAGGCGCGGTTGATCTAAGCAACTTGTGGAGAGTCTGGCGACGCCTGTTTTATGATTCTTGGGACAATCTTCATATCCGTATATAATGTTCAGTTTTTTCGCTTAATCTAGCTTTGCAAAAATATTACTTAGTCATGTCCCTTTACCCTCTGAAGCAACAAAGCAGTGGCAATTTTAATACCTAGAATTGAAAGTGTACCAAAAACTTACGTATTGCTTCGATCACAGTTTCGTCTTTGTGTTGGAATAAAAGTTTGTAAATAAATTGTTTAGCGGCTTGGTTTGGCTCACTGTGGAGGGATAACTATCCACTTTTGAAAACGGCTTCAAGCTAAGCATGTGGCTGGATTCAAATTTCACGTGCCCATTATATGCAAATTCGCTATGTGGGAATCCAGACTTTTCCAGTATATGCTTCAGTAATTTCCTGCAACAAAGCAAACGAATTTTTACTAATCGGATCCCGAAAGGAATCCCTTAGATACCTGAGGCTTCTTCGCTTTCTATTGTTTTGTAAGGAACAAAGCAAGGCTATGGCAGTTCCTTCTACTTTTTAGCTCCACACTTTGAAAGAATTGCTTCCTTTTCACGTTCGGGTTTTTGAATGACAGCCTTAAGATTTATCACACGCCAGGTATCTACGCTATTGTCATGTTATAATATGCTACCAAGCTCATTGGCCCACAGTAATGCTTTGACTTCCTCATTTGACCATTGCGTAGATGATTGTGTAGGCTATTGAATGTTTTGACATGGCTCTGAAAAGCAGGTTTATTAATTTGACTGACATTATTTTCCATGCAGAAACAGATATACTATGCTCCGACAGAACACCTCTTTGCCTCAGGAGAATACAAATGACCATATTTTGCCAAGCGAATATTGGAGGATGTTTCCTGGACTCCATCAACAACAACTGCTTGGTACTAAGTGCTTTGGATGCGTTGAAATATCTTATATACATCTTAGCATGCGGCTCTCAGAAGACAATCTGAGATATCTGAAAGGCGAGCGAGGCTCTTAAGTAACGGGTAGTGACTTCACTTATGATACGTGTCATACGAGTCTCTTGCGATACCGTGAGGCGTTTTCCCAAGCGTTCCTGTGAGTATGAAGCTATTTTATAATAAACAGCAGGGTAGTTTTTCTCGGGCCACAAGCAGTCACCTTTGGTTTTACTGGTGATGGATGATCAGTATTTAGAACATGTTCATATAAACCGAATTTGGAAATAAATTTCTTCTTTGAGAAATCACATTGCTTGTGAGTATGTCGCCCGAGGGCGCCACGCAACGGAAATTAAGGAAATTTTTGTTCCCTATTTTGTTGCGCCTCTTAACTCTTTCACTTGTCTGTGGTCATCAGCCACCTATGAGCTTGCATGATGTATAGAATAACACGAGAATTCACTAGCAAGTTTGCAGGAGTGATATGTGCATTTATGGTTTTGTTTTGCTTAAATATATCCTAAAATTGAGCGTTCGAAAACCAAACATCGTAGTGTTTTCGGATCAGCAATTTAAGCCAGCAAAAGAAAGACAGATTATTAGCCCAATAATGCATGATAAAGGCCAACTTACTCAACGTGGTGATTAAGTCGTATTCTGCAACCCAAAGCAATGGTTTTAAATTTGGGGGTGGGAAATTCAACCGGGAACGCACAAAGTCACGACACACACTTATTGAACAACTGTGTCATAAATCTCCTCTCATATTAGGGACGTTGTGTTTATGTTCATTATTCCTCTGTACACATAAATATCTAAGTTTACAAAAGGTTTTGACACATTAAATAATTTAGGGCAACAAAGGGTGCTAAGTGTTATCGCTTTTATCTATCGATTATTAATAAATGTATAGGAAGTACACAAACTTGGGGTTGAGTGTTGAGTCCGACGTTGGTCGGGCACTTGGTAATCAGCCATAAATACGGGAACCCGAAAGTCAAACTAATAATTATTTGTACGCCAGCCCTTCGAATACATCTAGGCCTCTACATTTGTTATAAATTGAGGGGTGACTGACGGCTAACATTGTGTAGAAAAGGTCACAGCGTAAATATGATCCCCTAATGATGCAATGTTTTCCATTCAATGTGTTTCCATCTATGAAAACGCTGCCTGCTTATTTCCTCAAGGGACATCACATGGTGAAGGATCGCAAAATATATGACCATGAATGAAGGACAAAATATAGTGTATCTTTTGCACTTGTATATTGTTTACCTAAAAAGCCCAAGTGGTGAATCAAAAGGAAGAAGGGACTAACCTTCACTGGAAAGCGATGCTAGGAGACCCCAAATAAAAATGTAAACAGTGGCAAAGAATTATAACGACATCGCTTGTCATGATTTTACTTATACAAGGTCAGATTAATTAAGCCCAAGACAATAAGAACCGTCACGCAGAGTCCCTCGACACTGTGAGATACGGTCCCGTGGGGGGTTTTGAAAGTTTAATTTTTAAATAGTGGACTTTTATATTGTTTTAACGGTTGAGAAGTACTCAGATAGACTGCGTCAGTGGCTTGAAAAACTGCTCTTTATTTTACCGGTTTGTATCTCTAAGATGCAAAGAAATAATCTAGTCTGAGCTTAAAATCTAACTGTAACTTTGAAACGTAGCACCTGATTATGTCATTTTTGCGGAAATAAATATTTTTTCCACTTTAAACTCTTTTTGTTTTGTTTGAGCTATTCGTAATCATGAATACTGGCTTTTGGCATCTTAAGGAATTTCGTTCAGCATATGGTGTTCTCTGTCAACGTTTTGCCTTCAAAGAAGACAGAGAGCCCCCCGTCAGTTAACGCATGATCATTGACTATATCTGGGGCTGCGGTTACTGACCTACTCCGGCCTTTGCAAATTCAGATTATCAGGAATCTACTAAAATGCAAGCAGTGCCAACTGCAAAATAACCGGAAGCCAAAGTTAAACAAAGTGTGTCGGCACAACTACACCTTAAATACCGAAATGAACTTACGCATCATCGGGTCGACTAAAATGCCCAGGAATTATGATGAATTTTTAGAAACCCATACACGAGTATGTAAACAACTTCTCAACCGTAGTGCCAATTACAGGTATTTTCAGAACTTCCGGAAAGTAATTAAATTTGATTTGAAAACTGAAATGCATATTACCCATGCTTGAAGAAATATCAACGCCTTAGTAACTAGTGGTGAGGATATGTAAGCCAAGAGTTCAAGGTTGACTGTGACGCACTCCGTAGTTTGCGTAAAGAGTAGTAACATTTACTCCAGCCTTAATGAATTACCATGAGTTTGTAAAGTGCTTGAAGTTTGATGCTCTAATAATCGTGAACGTACCATTCTATGTCTGCGCTTACTTACATGATCATCAGGAGGAAAGTGATGCACAAGTACCTGGTAATCTATTCATGCGGCATCGCTTGTTTGAGATATTCGAATTGAACTTTAGTGTATCGTTTCAAAAATCAAAAGTTTCTGCCTGCTTACTGCCAAGTTGATAATGACCCCCCTTCGAAGAAATATGAATTTGATTACCTCAAACTGTTCCAGACCATACAAATACAATGCGTAGCGGTATGCTACAAGCGCCCTTATCTAGAGAACAAAACATAGCATTTTACTTTACCTTTGCGTTTTACTTTAATGTAAGTGCTTCAATATTAATTTGTTACGCCCTCTACTCAGACAATTGTGATGACTAAATTCAGCCAGATAATTTGGTTCCCTAGCAAAGCGCGTGCGGAAGCTCGTTGAAGAAACAACTGATAAATAGTTTGCTTGCAAAGCATAATGTGGCGGTTTGTGTACCTCTGCGACCCACTGAACTATATTGGAGGGTCTTCCAGAGTCTTCCACACCAGGTTAGTCGATGGGTATAGATCTGACGAACATTGTCTTCCGGCCTACCGGGTTGGGAGTTGGAGCATGTGTGGCGACGTGTTACGTAAAACTGGTAAATTACTTGCATTTCCAGCCCAACAGCGCCGCCTTGAGGTTAGGCTATTGAGTCAAAGGCTTTGGTTGAGGACCTTAATCGGCCCCTGTTTAGGCGTTGGCCCCCTGGCAGTATCCCAGCTCTCGTACAACTATGACACCTACAGCTACCTACAGCCACCTACAAACACATCGGTGCTACCAAACGGATCGCCTTTCTTGCTGCACACACAGGGGTGGGGAAGTGAATATCTTCTACTACTAACACATTCCTCCTTACACATTCATATTTTTCCACTTCGCTCTCCTTTACCCAATTTCGAACACGTTCGTTAAAGGTCTCAACACTAAGACTGACCCTTTTTCTTGCCCTGCATCACACCCAGCTTAGGCTTCTCTACGTCCGAGTTCAGTCAAAACGCTAAGGATTTCGAAGTCTGTTTTCAAATTCGAAAGGCTATCTACTTAACCACCTTCAGTGTTCGCAGACTGAAGGAAGCAGGTCAACAGGTGACTCTTGCTTGTACGCTGGGTTTTCTCTGCATTGGTGTTTGTTGTTTGTCAGAAACAAGGACGCATAACTCAAGTGCTGTAATTGAACTGACTGGCCCAGTGCTCTCTTTCGGGCCCGGGCTGTGCAACTTTGGTGATGCACAGACCGCTGCAGCTTGATATGCCGGGCAAACAAGCAGAAGTGACTCTGCTTGATTGGATACCCGTTTATAGTTGCCTCTGGGTGGTCCGTTGGGCAACATTTGTGAGAGAATCGAGAGCAGGTTAGCTCCAGCGAACGTCACAGAAGTACGACCCTAAAGCATTAGTGTCAACAAGTAACGGCCAATACCTCAAGAAGCAGGAGTATGGTAGTTCGTGCTGACAGCACCTGAAAGTTGTCC